CCTAATAGGCCAATTAGGCCAAATTGGCCTGAAGAAAAACGCCAGAAGCTAGACAAAGGTCAAAATCCAGTCCAAATTCAGGGCAACGACAGGCAGATCAGCGATATTCAGTCCAAGTCAAGAAAGACGAATAAATACACAAGAATTCAGCCAAAAACAGGAGCTCTATCCGAGAGGTTCCAACTTTCACAAGCGGAAAAAAGGAACTGAGCCGTTGGCGGGCTGAGCATGCTCAGTGCAGGGCAACCTGAACATTGTTACTTTTCTATTGCAGCTCTAGAAGATTCCGAGAGGCCAGCACAAGTGCTGACTTAACCCATTAGTGTGGATTCATGGAGAACCACGTTGAAGAAGTTACGTTTTTGACCACAACTTCCAAAACCTCCTAGCCAATATGTTCAAAAAACTAACTTTCCCATGTTTGACCTTCAGTTCTTTCAGGACAACGACTGCAGTTCCACCATATATCCACCTGTCGCATGTTGCTAGGAAATATTATGTACAGCAAAAACAACAAGGACTTGAAGACTAATAAGTTTTATTTGACATAAACATTTCTGCATTATCCCACTTCTCCAGGTGCCTCTGAAGACATGGGCCATAGTTTACAAAACCTCATGCCAAACAAAGCTTGTTACGCTTTAACTTGCCAAGAGAGCCCTTTTCTCCTTTCCTGCTACATGGAAGAGATTAAGCTTTTACTATGAGCCCAAGTTCATTTCGATTATTTCATTAAATCACCTGTTCTTCTTATATATCTAGTCACTGAAAAGTAACCTGAAAAACATTCAAGTAAGGAAATGCCACACACTCTTGCCTAGGGGTTGGATTCTCTTTCAACAGACAGAACCTGGTCCAAAACTACACAGTGAGTTGAAACCAAGTTTAAATTCACAGCAACTTCTATTAATGCACACAATGTAAGCCCTACTGCAGTAAAAGATGGTGCCCAACATTGACTATTTTGAAATGTTAATACAGCTTCCTCTGCAGTCTGTCAAGATAATACAACCCTTCCTATGCTGTAGGACTTGCGTGTCCAGCAGGTGGTTGGACAGCAGAGGCTGGGGAGTGCAATGGCAACAGTGGTGTTGGCAGCATCTTCAGTGGCTGGGGAGAACCACCCTGATGCTGCTGCCGCCAACCTGCTCCTTGGCCACTATTGCTACCACCTTCGGGTGACAGGAGGGTTTTGTGTCACACCTCCACGTCCCCTGTTTAAATGCGAGGACTCACTTAAAACACAGGATAGTTTAGTGACACCTGGGAACAATCTGCAAAGTCATGAGATTAGCACAGTAAAGATATTTCTGGCCTGGACCACATTACACAATCAGAACCAGGAATTCATAGCCTTTCCTATATGGCAAAGTGGCCAGAATGCACAGCAAAGTATAGTCTGAATTGGTTTTACTCCCTGACGCTGTCCATGCACATTCTTGCACAAGAACAATTACTATTAAACTGATTACAATTTATGGCGACCCTTTCCAAGATCTTCTACATAGGTATACGGTACTCAGAGGTGATTTATAAATTCATTATTCAGGTACCACTCTGGAACTATGCAAGCAGAACTAAGGGAACAAAGGCTGACTCTTCTCTTGGGAAGCACAGTGGGGAATAAAACTGCCAACCTCTGGTTCCACAAGCAGATACCAAACTCAGTAAGTTAACCCAGCAGTTACTTTTAAATACAGTGGTGCCTTGCTTAACAATTGCCCTGCATTACAACAAAATCGCTGTACGATGATCTTTTTGTGATCGCAAAACGATGGTCTAAATGGTTTTTTTTTTTCGCTTTGTAAATATCGGTTCCCTGGTTCGGGAACCGATTCTTCGCATTACGACGATCAAAACGGGTTTTCAAAATGGCCGCCAGGTGCTTAAAATGGCTCCCCGCTGTGTTTAGGGACGGATTCCTTGCTATACAGGCAGCGAAAATGGCTGCCGTATGGAGGAGCTTCACTGGGCGGTGAGTTTTTACCCCATTGGAAAACATTGAACAGGTTTTATGATGTTTTCCCTTAACGGGAATTTCGTTTTATGATGTTTTCCCTTAACGGTGATTTTCCTGGAACAGATTATCATTGTTAAGCGAGGCACAACTGTATTACTATTCTAGTATACTTTTCTGCTCACCTGAGTAACAAATGCTCCTACTGTCTCTGATATGTACCTTAACTGGACCTTTCAAAAAAAAACACTAGCTCAAAAGCTCTCTACTGCTTATCTTTATCTTTGGAACAAGCAGTTGCCTGTAAGAAGATCCCCTTCACACTGGGTGCTGAATTGACAAAACACCATCTATATCATCAAACAAACAACATGCCGGAGATTAGAAATCTAAGACTTGCAGCTGGCTTCCCCTCATTCTATGGAAAATATTTTATGGGCAGCAAAGCAAAAAGATGTATGGCTCTTAACAAAGTCTTGTTACTGTTCCTACACTTAAAAATATGGTAGTGGTGGTGGCATAAACGTATTTCCCTAAAAACTTCACAACTGGCCTGGTTAAATTCAGTTTCCACCAAAGATGCCTCTAACCATCATGAAAAACAACAATATATTACAGCTTCAACTAATTAGAATATTTCTTTATTTGAATACAGTACTTCTTCCAGGGAACTCAGTTACTAGAAGAGTAGATTATTCTAGGCTGGCAAGATCTCCACAGGTTTTTACTCACATTTAGAAGGAAAGAACTCTAAGCCCGGGGATTTGTTACAGACAACCGTGATCCGCATTCTCCCCACCCTTGGACTATAGCTGGTTGCACAGATATCACAGAGTTGGAAGGGACTTTAGATACCATGTAGTCAACACACCTGCTCAAGATGGGAGCTACAGTACAGGGTGCAACTGCAAATACACATATCCAGATAGATTTATCCAACTGTCAAGATAGGTCTCAGCATCAGAACATTTCTCCTAATGCTTGGCCAAATTTATTCTGCTGCACCAATTTCCACCTAATGAAAGGAACAAACCTAAAGCAACCAAGACATCTGTCTGCCCTTAAATCTTCCACTTTCCAGGCTAAACATAGCTGGCTGTTTCAACCAACTGCTTATCACTGGATTGGATTTCCAAATTTCTCACCAACCTGGTCACATTCTCCCTCTGATATTACTCCAGAAGATAATGGTCAGAATCCTACTGGTCAGATACATTAGTGTAAGTGCAATAACATCAACTGCAGTGGTGAACTGCAGCTAATTACGAAGTTATTCATCAACTTACATGAGCAAATTCTGACTGCAATGCTACAGTTTAACCACTATGCTATGAGACACCTGAATCATCATTGTAAAAGTTACAATACTGTATGCAGAAAATTAATGTAGCAAATTATAACTTGACCAGGCAGACACGTATCCAACTTTCTCTATATTAGAAACCAATAATCACATATAATCATGAATAAACAAAGAATCTTGGGCATTTTGTACAGAAAAGGAGGACATGAGCAAGTCCACAGGAGATGCAGACAATACAGTGGGATCTCTACTTAAGAACGTCTCTACTTAAGAACAATCCAACTTAAGAACAGCTCCATTTGCTAAATGTTGCTTCTACTTGAGAACAGAAATCCAAGATAAGAACAGGAAAAAAAATCCTTTCCTGCTCTTTTTTTAAGGTCATCTTAGGTAAAAAAAAAATTCTCCCCCTAGTGGTAGAGTACGTATTAACCAGCTTTGGGAACTAATGCTTCACAAAATCAGTTTGCATAGGTTTCAGGAGGTGGGCTAACCAGTGCAAGCATTTAAAACGGCTTCCAAACATTGTAAGACACTTTTACAGGAACGAAAAAGAGACATTGTTGTGTGAAAATGCCCCATAGGAAACATCGCTGTGTGAGGCGGCAAATTTAACAGAAAAAGGCATCGTTGTGTATATTCATCATTGTGTGAGGCACCCGTTGGGCGAGGCACCACTGTATTAGAAACCAATAATCACATATAATCAGGTGATCCCATGAATAAACAAAGAGTCTTGGGCATTTTGTACAGAAAAGGAGGACATGAGCAAGTCCACAGGAGATACAGACAATATTTTCAACTGATGATCCTCTCCTATTTTCCTGTGATTTGTTTCATTTTTGCCCCCCTTACCCAAGAAAAGCCATTATGGGGGGGGGAATGTTGAGCAGTAGGAGAGTATCCATTGTTCCTTTCTTAAAACTGCTAACATTTTAGCTTCCAAAAGTTTAACATTTCAGAATGTTCTGGCAGACCTAGATAAGCGATGGTCACCCTTTGTATATGTCATTTACTAAAATCCTTGGAAATTTTTTGAATTAAGTGTTTGCTATGTTATCATTTGCCAGCAACTCTTACTTCAGCAGCAGGTTGTCAGTAATAACACTGTGTCTATTAAGTACTCGCTGTTACAGGAATAAAATAAAAGTATCTAGCTAAGGTATAGTAATAATTTCTTACATTTCAGTTAAGGTTTTCTGGTGGAGAGCAAAGTAATTATTGAATAACATTGATTGGATGACTAAACAGAAACATACCTAAATAGAAAGCGTTAAGCAGAAGGCACTTAAATTATGGCAAAAGGCAGTTTCTACTTCTGTTGATTTATTTTTCCTGAACATGTGCGTAAAAGAGTTCAAGAAAAGCATGAGCCATCTCAGAGTTTCAATGGTTGTCCTCTTAAGAAAACAGGGCCTTCTGAACAAGTGCTGCGTGCTATGACCCATGTCACCTGATCCTCATGGGGTATATGGCATCTATTCATAACCAGCACTGATTTTTCACATTTGCCAAGGGCATATGACAGGAGAAAATTCAGAGTAAATCCACACCAAGTGGAGCAACTATGTTTTTTCCCTCTGTTATTTTCTGTCTTTGCAGAACACTGGAATTAGTCACTTTTCCAGAAATGTGCTTTCTTGGTTTGGTTTGGTTTGGTTGGCTCTGGCTCCTTCTCTTCACACCTCTAAGATTCCCACCAGGATGATTAAACCAGATAGATAGCTGTGTGCATCTTACATTTTGCATAGCATCTTGATACTGCGGCAGTGATGACAGCTGGGACTCAGAGTGGTATGGAGATAACCCTTTCCGCAGAGTCCTCAAATCACCAGTGCTTGATTGCTGCCAAGAAGAGAAAGAGAGAGAAATAGGACATCTGTTAGCCCACTGTAAATAAAATGAACTTCATTCTAATTTCAGGTCTTTACTTATTTCCCATCTCACCCCCAATCCCTCTTTTTCAGTATGATGAGTCACATAATGACTTTGGGCTGTATTCAGTGGTGATCACTCTGTTGATGGAAAGCATCAGGGAGCAGAGAGAAAAGTAGGCAATCTCCCCCTCCCCCCAAAAAAATCCTTTTCCCTATCCTGCAGCTCTTTTGGACCACTGAAAATCCCTTTGGAGCTGATCTGGAGAGGTTGGGGGGGGGAAACGACAGGGGAGGGAACCCCCCTTCGAAATTGTTGTGTTAACATTCCAATGGCCTTCTGTCAATGGAGATTTCTTTCCATCACAAAATCTAGCTTATGTTCAAATCACTGACTAGAATATTGAATATATATTTAAAATGGACCATAATGTTCTTATGCTTTCAAACATTGGAAAAGATATTCAACCAATTAAAATTCAACACTTATGCCCTTCCATGTTGGATGATACTTTTTTTTTTTGCCCTTCTAATTGTACCTTGAATCTTTCATATTCGCAGCTTTTACAGAACAATTAAATACAGATTGAATATTTTTACCTTCAGTTGTGTTTCAGTAAGACTGGGCTCCTATGTTAAGATTTTAAAACAATGAAAAATATGCAGAGGTATGTACATATCTTTAGGAGTTCCTCTTATCTTCTTTATTTCGCAATTTTAAAATGTTAAAACTGTTGACAAACTCAACTGGAAGGGCTATATTTTTGAAATTCTTTCCTTTTCTGTTATCAACATTCTGCAAACAGTAAGAGCTTTAAAAATATTTAGAAATGATTCTCGTGCAAATAGACTGGTAAGCAGGACATGTTTTTTGATAAGAAAATAACAGAAAGGGAGATACACCCATTCTCTCATTTTCTCTCTCCAAATGTGCTATATATCTGATATCAAATCCTTGACGACATGATTTGCAAACTGGGACCATGCCTTAAGAAGTCCTTTCTCTTCTCCCTTCTTTCCGCTCAAACTCCCCTGTCCTTCCCTTGAGCATCTTAATACCTAATACTATATCTGCAATGATGTAACCTGTTTAAAACTAACCAGTTTTTAAACCTACATCAGACTCTGATTAAGATGGCAGTTTTGAGTGAATTGTCTGGGAAGATAAGATAATGTTGTGTTGCTGAAGATTGTCTAGCAACATGTAATGCTGGCTTGCATGAGAGACCAATAGATGTTCCACGTAAGAGTGTGATATGGGTATAACAAATACTTATTCTAAAGCATTTCACTGCAGATCCATCTAACCCCTCATTCATATAAGAATAAATCCTTTTCTCTGGGAAAGGAAGGAAGTGGACAAACATAGATTACTAAAGCATATATTTCAAACCACATGCATTACATACTGCTAAACATCAGGAATGTTTGAAGCAAACAACTGAATATCAAGAGATCACATGATCCTTATTTTCCCCGCTTCAGGAGGCAAAGAGGACTTGCACATTAAACCTGTACTCTGTCCTCATCCCACAAAAATATATCTGCTTTTGCACAACGCACAGCCTTTGACACCCTACTCCTAGCCTTGCAAATGACCATTTTTATGAAGACTGATTCTTTGGGAAAGATGATAAAAGCATTCCTGTCTAGGAAAGAATTTACGCGCTTGAAGCGGGGCTGCGGAGGATGGCTAGGGCTGCCCTCCCATGCGGCCCAAACCAAATGTATGTGCGGCCCAAACCAAATTTTCATCTTCTAATGTGGCCCAGGGAAGGTGAAAGGTTGGACACCCCTGTTTTAAACAATATCACTCAGCTTCACAGATGATTTTCTTGGAACAGTGTATGGCTAACATTAACTGCTTCTTATTATCTGCTTTTGATGTAATTTGGACTGTGGCTCGGAATATTATAATTGCATGTGCTATACCTCTCTGCATTTAGCAGAGACAACTGTAATTTTTTGTACCTGTCTCTGATGGTGTAAGTGTGGGGGGTCTCCAAACTTTTCAACATGAGGTCCACATCATGTATTTTAGACATTTTTGAGGGCTGAAGAAACACATGCACGGGCTACAGGGAACGGACCTGAGCCTCCGGCATTCGCCGGGCTGGATAAAAAGGCAAAGATGGGCCAGATGTGGGTCACAGGCTGTAGTTTGGAGACCCCGGTGTGGCGCATGCAAGCACGTGTGCACATGCATGCACACGGATCAAAGGGAATGAACATGAGCCTGTGGCATTCACTGGGCTGGATAAAAAGGCAAAGACGGGCCAGATGTGGGTCACAGGCCGTAGTTTGGAGACCCCCGGTGTGGTTGAACTGCTGTACTGCACCCAAAACTCTGCTCACGACCTGGATTCAGTCCAAGGTTGCCAGCTTGAGGTTTACAAAACCTCCATCCTTCTGAGATCTGTAAACTGCTTTAAGCACTAAGAGGCAGTATATAAGCAGCATGCTTTGCTTTTTTAAAAAATGTATGCCAGGTTGTTTATATATTAATATGATATACATATCAGTGTGGGTTTGTCTATGCATATGTGGCTGTGTATATACTCTATCTACTGCTGTTGGCAAGAGTGGGCAAAAGGTGGGCTAAGGGCCATATACTGACTTCAGACCCCCCCCCAAGTGGGTCCCACTCATCCCTGGGGAAAATGGTAATCAAAAGGGGATGCTAACAGTCATTACAGAGTCATGGTTGGTGATTTTGATGAATCAACTATAAGGCCTGGGTGTGGGGTTAAACTCATAAGCATCCAGAGGATACGTTGAATTTTGAGAACAGATACTGTAACACAGGGATGTGGTGGCGCTGCGGGCTAAACCACAGAAGCCTGTGCTGCAGGGTCAGAAGACCAAGCAGTTGTAAGATCAAATCCATGCAACAGAGTGAGCGCCCGTCGCTAGTCCCAGCTCCCGCCAACCTAGCGGTTCGAAAGCATGCAAATGCAAGTAGATAAATAGGGACTACCTCGGTGGGAAGGTAACAGCGTTCCGTGTCTAAATCGCACTGGCCATGTGACCACGGAAGATTGTCTTCGGACAAAACGCCGGCTCTATGGCTTGGAAATGGGGATGAGCACCGCCCCCCAGAGTCGAACACGACTGGACAAAAATTGTCAAGGGGAACCTTTACCTTACTGTAACACAAGACTGGCGTAGGGAGAGTGTAGTTCCATGATGAGACCGCTGCTCACCTCCAACTCTTAGTATATGGCCTACTCTAAAATCAACTTCTATTATTTATAAGATGAGTAATCTGACAAGTCAAAACATTTTGGTAGCAATCCTCCAGGGCCCCAAGAAAGCACTACAAGGGCCACAGGATTTTGCAAACCCCCTCTTTCCACACTCAGAGAGAAGAGGCTATGAATGCACACAGATAAAATCAGATGGACTGATTCCCTAGAGGAAGCCACAGGATTGAGTTTTCAATTGCTGAGCAGGGATGTAGAGAATGGGACATTTTGGAGATTGCTTATTCATGGGGACGCCATAAATTGAGGGTCACTTAGTAGCACCTGACGACAATAAGGTCACCCACAAACCATCTTGATCAGATGGCAAAAATTCTGCCACCATCCCTTATTTGCTATAGGAGCTCTGAAGGCAGTAGGGAATGAAAAGGGACATGCTCTTGTCTTCCACCATGCGAATTAAAAACATCTAATATAATGGACACTGAAACATAAACTCTTGGATGGATGAGGCAGTTTTATTAGCAAGAACCATTTTCATTAACTTTATGGTTTTTGGAACCATGTTGTTCTGATGCTGCAAAAAGACGACCTTTCAGTTTCTTATGCTCCCTTAATACTTCAAAATTGCCTCTGCTGCTGCCATATTTTCTACTTCAAGAGAACTGTGATGGTGGCATGCATAAATAACTGCTGCAGTAAAACACCACAAAAATTAGTCCAGTTATATATTCAATAAAAATCCAGATACCTCAGGTTTTGGCCACAGATCTAGTCTTTGGTGCATGATAGTTTAGTTTTCTCTGACACACCAATGCTTAGAGGAAACAGTATGATGTGCTATTAGAACTCAAAACTCTTGGATGGAGACAAACTTGCAAGGTAACAAGCTTATATACTGCCCCATAGTGCTTAAAGCATTATCTGGGCAGTTTACAATTTAATTATGCAGGCCACATATTTATCCCCAGCAAGCTGAATACGCAAGCCTTAACACAGACTCTCAAATTTACATAAAATGTTGGATTCTATTCTGGTTTCCAATATCATCTCATATCCTTTCAGACTACCGTATTTTTCCGTGTATAAGATGCCCCCATGTATAATATGTCACCTACTTTTCTAATCCAAAATTAAGAAATCTAAGTGTGGCTTAGCATGGGTGGGGGGAAAGGGATCAAAGCACTGCTGGATCGCTTTGATCCTTGCCTTCCCTTCCACTTGTTTTTGTTCTCTCCTCAGCTTGCTTCCGTGTATAAGACGACCCTTAATTTTTAGTCTAAAGATTTTAGACAAAAGTATAGTCTTATACATGGAAAAATACGGTAATTAGAAAATAGCTTGGGTGCAACCAGAAAACTGCAGCAGTTCACTGCACCAGTTTATGCCTCTGCACTTACACTAGTGTAACTAACCAGTCATATTCTGTTGAGTATATTTTTGGTTACATTAGCAAAAACTAGCCTAGAAAATATTTACCATTCCTGTTGTATATTCTTATTTATATTTAATTTTGTCTTCCTTTATCATCAATTAATGTTTGTAGTTTTAGAAGTGGTAGCCATATTAGTCTGTGCTAGCATGTCAGGCAAAAACAAAACAATAATGAAAAAATAATGAAGAGAAGTCCACTGAAGAAGTGGAACTGTCCACAAAAGCTGACATTAAAAATAGCAGTTAGTCTTTAAGGTGCTGCAACATTTACAATCCACTTTTCCTCCAATGAACTACAATTATTGCTTATGTGGAATTTCAAGGCTCATTTATT